TGGGAGGAGGGATAAAGCGATCATCCAGAGAATTGGATGGGGGGGGTAGTTTGTTTTCTGCTGCTGAATGTTAACAGGAAAACCGCAGCACTCAACGGGCTTTGCTTGGTATGTGGGCACTCAATATTAAGAGGCAAAATGTGACCTTGCACAGAAAACACATGTGCTATGTAATGTGAATAGTGTTGGTCACCGTGAAAGAGTATAAGCATTGTTCTGTAAAATGTATCTTTTTAAAAATTTCTCTCCCTCCAGCAGCTGCAAATTCTTCAAGCCTCCCTCCTCCGTCCCGAAGGCTATCACAGGTAAGGCGTCGGAAAAAGAAGACGCGAGACGAGATGTTTGCAGAAATCATGGAATCCACCCGCAGTGACAGAGCTCATCTGAATGAGTGGAAGGACACGATTTCAAAGTATAGGAAAGAAGCCAGTGAATGTGAAGATAGAAGGGACCAACGTGAGGACATGAGGGACCAACGTGAGGACAGGAGGGACCAATGTGAGGACAGGAGAGACGCTCGAGATGAGAGGTGGCGGCAGGAAGATCAGAGGAGGCAGGATGCAACGCTGGGGCTGCTGCGTGAGCAAACAGACATGCTCCGGCGTCTGGTGGAGCTTCAGAAATGGCAGCAGGAAAACAGAGTGCCGCTACAGCACCTGTATAACCCCCCTCCCCATGTTCCATATTCTCACCCAGACGTGTAAGAACGCGGTGGGGGAGGCTCCGTACACCTTCCCATTCCACCCCAGTGGACAGCCCAAGCAAAAGGCTGTCATTTTTTTAACCTTTTTTAGTGGCCTTTTCCTTCCCACCGATCCTCCTCCCAAACCCGACCCGGGTTCCCTCCCTCTTTTTATAATCTATTAATAAAGAATACATGATTTTTAAACGATAGTGACTTTATTTGGTTTGAAAGCAAGCTGGGGGAAGGGAGAGGGTGGGTTCCTTACAGAGAATGAGTCAATAAAGGGGGCGGGTTTTCATGAAAGAGAAACAAACAGATATTTCACACTGTAGCCTGGCCACTCATGAAACTGGTTTTCAAAGCTTCTCTGATGCACAGCGCTTCCTGGTGTGCTCTTCTAATCGCCCTGGTGTCTGGCTGCGCGTAATCGGCAGCCAGGCAATTTGCCTCAGCCTCCCACCCCGCCATAAAGGTCTCCCCCTTATTTTCACAGAGATTGTGGAGCACACAGCAAGCAGAAATAACAGTGGGGAGATTTCTTTGGCTGAGGTCTGAGCGAGTCAATAACGATCGCCAGTGACATTTTAATTGGCCAAATGCACATTCTACCACCATTCTGCACTTGCTCAGCCTGTAGTTGAACAGCTCCTGACTCCTGACCAGGCTGCCTGTGTATGGCTTCATGAGCCATGGCATTAAGGGGTAGGCTGGGTCCCCAAGAATAACTATTGGCATTTCAACATCCCCAACGGTTGTTTTCTGGTCCGGAAAGTAAGTCCCTTGCTGCAGCCCTTTAAACAGAGTAGTGTTCCTGAAGACGCGAGCGTCATGAACCCTTCCCGGCCAGCCCACGTTGATGTTGGTGAAACGTCCCTTGTGATCCACAAGTGCTTGCAGCACCATTGAAAAGTACCCCTTGTGATTTATGTACTGGGTACCCTGGTGCTCCGGTGCCAAGATAGGGATATGGGTTCCATCTATCGCCCCACCACAGTTAGGGAATCCCATTGCAGCAAAGCCATCCACTATGACCTGCACATTTCCCAGAGTCACTATCTTTCGTAGCAGCACCTGAGTGATTGCTTTGACTACTTGCATCACAGCAGCCCCCACAGTAGATTTGCCCACTCCAAATTGATTCCCAACTGACCGGTAGCTGTCTGGCGTTGCAAGCTTCCACAGGGCTATCGCCACTCGCTTCTTAACTGTGAGGGCTGCTCTCATCTTGGTATTCTGGCGCTTCAGGGCAGGGGACAGCAAGTCACAAAGTTCCATGAAAGTGCCCTTATGCATGCGAAAGTTCTGCAGCCACTGGGAATCATCCCACACCTGCAACACTATGCGGTCCCACCAGTCTGTGCTTGTTTCCCTTGCCCAGAATTGGCGTTCCATGGATAGAACCTGCCCCATTAACAACATGATCTCCAAAGCACTGGGGCCCGCGGTTTGACAGAATTCTGTTTCCGTGTCCATGTCCTCATAACGCTTGTCGCTGCGCTGCCGCCGCCGCTGCCTCCTCGCCTCGTTTTCTGGTCCTGGCTCAGCATAAACTGCACGAGAACGCGCGAGGTGTTTACAATGTTCATAACTGCTGTCTTGAGCTGAGCGGGCTCCATGCTTGCCTTGGTATGGAGTCTGCAGTGTTCACCCAGGAAAAAAGGCGCGAAATGGTTGTCTGCCATCCATTGCTTTCATGCAGGGAGGGAGGGAGAGGTGAGGCTGTACCCAGAACCACCTGCAACAATGTTTTTTGTCCCATCAGGCACTGGGATCTCAACCCAGAATTCCAATGGGCGGGGGAGACTGCGGGAACTATGGGATAGCTATGGGATAGCTACCCACAGTGCAACGCTCCAGAAATCGATGCTAGCCCTGGAACATGGACGCACACCGCCGAATTAATGTGCTTAGTGTGGCCGCATACATTCGACTTTATACAATCTGTTTCCCAAATTCGAATTATATAAATTTGGATTAATCCCGTAGTGTAGACATACCCCTACTTATCCTATCTTACCACACCTCCCCCAAGGTCTCTGGACAAATCAGGTGTGAACTACTCCTTTGATACAGACGTGTCCCAATCCAGGTGAATTGAGCTAGATTTTGGGCCAATGTCAGTTTGGAAAAGGCCTGCTTAATCCAGCAGGTTTCTTAAAGTATCTGTTGCTGTGAACCGCATGCAATCTAGATGTGTACCTCAAAGATATCAAACATGAAAGAAACACAAAGCAAGTTTTGGGGAGGTTTCCAGAGCGAGGCCTGAGAGTTAAACAGCTGTGCTAAAAAGAAAAAGGAGCCTCAGCACCTATCAGAATAACTGGTTGCAAAATTTAAATTAAATTAAAAAAACAAACCAAACCAAAAAACAACCCAGAAAAGCTATCATCACACATCCATCACTATTTTAGATTTTGACATCTCCTGCCTTATGTGACATCTTTGCTTTGCAAAAAAGGGACCTGGAGAACTCTGTGGCTGTTACCCTCTAACAGGGTAAAAGGCTATACATCTTGTCTCAAGTAATTTTCCTCTTAAGGAAAGATTTATTTTAAAATTTATCAAAATAAATTCAATTTTAAATAGAAACAATTACAGTCTCTACTGGGTCTCTATTCTCGTACATGCTATTTCTCTCACATATTCCCTCACTCTTATTCCTTCGGAGTGAGGGTGGCTAATCCTGAAATTAAAATATTTCCTATGTAGTAGGAGGGGGCATGGAGAGAACTAAAAGAAAACCTGAATTATATTGTAACACTGAAAGTTATCACATAATCAGCATTTTCCATGACACTAATTAACTTCATGTTTAATTTCATTGTCACTAGTAACAACTTATTCAATGATATATAAACCGATAGGGCAATTGTCAGGGTTCCCTCCCAACTCTGAACTCTAGGGTACAGATGTGAGGACCCGCATGAAAGACCCCCTAAGCTTATTTTTACCAGCTTAGGTTAAAAAACTCCCCAAGGCACACATTCTACCTTGTACATTAGATTAGGTAATGCTGCCACCACCAAGTGATTAGAGAAAACTCAGGGAAAGGACCACTTGGAGTTCCTGCTCCCCGCTAATATCCCTCCAGGCCCTACACCCCCTTTGCTGGGGAGGCTTGAGAATAAACAAGATAACCACAGACCAACCTTGGGTTTTTTTAGGACACTAAAAAACCAATCAGGTTCTTAAAAAAACAGAACTTTATCAGAAAGAAAAAAGGTAAAAGAAGCACCTCTATAAAATTAGAATGCAAGATAATCTCACAGGGCAATCAGATTCAAAACACAGAGGATTTCCCTCTGGGCAAAACTTTTAAATTACAAAAAGAAAACCAGGAATACACCTCCCTCTTAGCACAGAGAAAATCACAACCCAAAATAAAAGTAAGCTAAGGCATTCCCTTGCTATTACTTACTAATTCTAATGGATTTGGATTGCTTGCTTTCTTGTTCTGTCTCCGGCAAACACCCAGAACAGACAGACGAAGAACAGACAAAACAAAGCCTTCCTCCTCCCTGCCCCCACAGATTTGAAAGTATCTTGTCCCCTTATTGGTCGTTTTGGTCAGGTGCCAGCTAGGTTACCTGAGCATCTTAACCCTTTACAGGTAAAAGGATTTTGTGCCTCTGGCCAGGAAGGATTTTATAGTACTGTATACAAGAAGGTTGTTACCCTTCCCTTTATATTTATGACAGCAGTTTTCTCCTAATTCCCATTTCCACCCAGTTAGCTTTATGTGAAGTCACATTCTACAATAACCTAGGAGCCTTCCTTTTCTGTGATTTCATTTCTCCCTGGGTCTTTTCCCAGAAGTCTGGGTGAAAGGGGTCTCACACTATGTGGGAAGGCTGCATCATGAGAAAAACCACCTGTGTTCTATTTTCACACTTCCTAATCCTTCAAAGTAGTAGCAGGAGGAGAAGTGATACAAATGCATTAGACTTAATAGCAAATCTAAGAGACCAAACCACAGACTCTGGACTTAGCATTCTTGTATCCTGCAGTCTGAACTTGGAATGTGATACATTCCCTCATTGGCTACCAACATTTGCCCAAAATGGAATTGCTTCTTGTCCAACAAGGCATTGGGACCCATAGGCATGGAATGGCTCTGAAGGAATCAGCTGTTTCGCTCTGTGCTTCATGAAACTTTGGATCCAAATGGTAAAAGACAGTTGTGCCCAGTTGAATCATAGCATCCTTTAGAAGCATGATCAATGCCACTTAACAAGGGAGCAGGGTTCTAAAAATAGTTTACCTTGGCCACAGGTCACCATAGCTTCCACCTCTGGGGTGAAAATCAACCACTAGTTCCTGCAATTTCTAGCTGAGTTCTTGTCAAATCTTTGACCTTACTTGAAGAAATTTTACACTTCTCTGGCATAGAATTCTTCCCAACCACACAACATATCAGTAGCGATAGTGAGGTATAACTCTCCCAATTATGCCCTTTTATTTCTTTAATCTGGTGGCACAGATTTAAATTAGGGACTAAATTCAGGTGCTGCTTAGAATCCCTGTAAGACACCAAATGTCAGGTATCTATTAAAAATAGGAATCTTTCTGCAGCTATACCACATTCAACACAGATTTCATTTCCTACACATTTGCAGCATCTCCCAGGAGTGAGCTGAACAGAAATGTCACTTCCATTTTTCCCATCCCTACCTAGATAGGGATTGCATTTCCCAAATAATAGGTAACATGCAGCTGATTAGGAAGGAAATATCTTCAGGAGCGACCTCCTGCAGGGCCTGGGCCACAACTGCTTTGGGAGCCCAATGCATGGGTATTTTGCTTACCAATTACAAGTCATTTACTAGGGAATACTCTTCCCAGCCCTTTAAAAAAATATTAACCTAAACCAACTGAAGAACAGGGGGATTGGGATGGTGATGGGGAATAAGGGAATCCCTCTGACTTACCCTATCTTCCCCTGCTGTTACAGAGGGTGAAATGACATTTTTCCGTATCCCTGCCCTGTTCCTGCTCTTTCTTATAGTTCAATATATTTTAAGTGAGGAAAATAGTAGTAAAAATATCTGCTCTCCAGCACAAACTGAAGCAACATCAGAGCAACTGGGAATGAAAAAATTTGTTCCCCAAGGGGCCAATTGATGACTAACAATTGCTTTGAAATGGGGGAAACAGTATAACTGTGATGCTCAAGGTTTGTTTAGACAAGGAAAAGTGATGGAGTTTAGGTCAGGTCAAAGGGAAAGTTAATGTCAACCACTGCACCTGGGCTGCATCTGCACTACAACTATAATGGTCTTTTTACACCAAGATCACCAACTTAAGCAGTCAATGCCATGTACAGTCCCAGTGGCTGTAAGGCACAAGTAGTTTTTGCCTCAGTGTAGCTTGTTGGGAATCAAACCTCTCTCTCCCACCTGGAGCAGATGAACATTCCTGGCTGGAGGGACACACGCTCCTATGATTCAAGAGGAAAGGAGTTGATAGAAAAGATCACAGGACTGACCCCAAAGAAGGTGAGCTGCAAAAGGCAGAAGCAGGCAACTCATCTGGTGGAGCTGAGAGACCATGGTGAAGATGGTGCAAAAATCTTTGGCCAGCCCTAGTAAAGGCATTTATTACAGTTCTCTCTCATGTGGATTTTCTGATGTGTAATAAGGCTTGAGCTCTGATTGAAACTTTTCCCACACTCAGAGCACATGTAGGGTGTCTCTCCTGTGTGGATTCTCATATGTCGGATAAGGCGTGAGCTCCGACTGAAGGTTTTCCCGCACTCAGAGCATATGTAGGGCTTCTCTCCTCTGTGGATTCTCTTATGTTGGATAAGGTGTGAGCTCCAAATGAAAGTTTTCCCACACTCAGAGCATGTGTAGGGCGTCTCTCCTGTGTGGGTTCTCTGATGTCTGATCAGGTTTGAACGCTGACTAAAGCTTTTCCTGCACTCAGAGCACATGTAGGGTTTCTCTCCAGTGTGGGTTCTCCAATGTGTGACAAGGTCTGAGCTCCGATGGAAGCTTTTCCCACACTCCTGCCATTTGTAGCATATTTCTTGCAAGTGGATTCTGTCACGTGTAATAAGGTCTGAGTGGCTACTGAAGTTTTCCTCTGGCCTTTGATGAGTCTCACAGACTTTTGCTTTTTCTGGGAGTGCACAACTCCCTGAAACATTCCCTTTGGATCTTCCTGATAACATTCCATGTGGTTCTACTTGCTCAGCATCTTCCTGCTGGGGTTTCTCCTCCTCATTCTCACTCACCATCCCATCACCTGAATGGGAGACAGAGAGAATCCAGACATAGGTCACTCCCTGAGCCAGAAAAAAAAGAAATCTCAGAGAGAGGAATGGAAAAAGGGATGAACAAACCAAAATATGTGTGGGAGAGATCAAACCTATCATAAGCTGCTTTTCCGCAAATCCTTCCCCAGAGGAGAGAGGAAGGGATCAGTTTTGGTCCACATCTCACCAGAACACTCAGGGGAAAGCGAGATCGGGGAGGAAGCTGGTACCAGTTGTCAGTCAGAATAGGAGGGAAGCCATGAGTGACATCTGCCATAATGATTCCACATCTGCAGGGAACAATCCTAACTTGGAGATCACACAGTGTCTTTGTAGGGCATCCTAAATGTTTTCTGCATTCCCAAACAGTTGTTGAGTTGGTTTAATCACTTCCTCACCTGTGCAGGCAGCTCTTTGGAGCACTTCTCTCTCAGAGACCTGGAGGTCTGGGACCCCTGGCTTTTCCCCTTGTTCCAGCTGCGAGATCACATCAGGTTTGGAAATTGGATACCCTACTCCAGGCAAAGAAAACAAGGAAGAGCAGTGGAATTTGTGAGATACTTGTCACAAAGAATATTCCATGGTTTTAATCCCAGCCCCTTTTTAAGCAGTAACATCCCAAAGCCATCTTCCTTGGCTCAAAATGGCAGGAGAGTTATTATTATTATAAAACATATTCATTACCTTAGTGCCTAAGGACCAACTAGCACTGGGTCCCCATTGTGCTAAGCAAAGTACAAACAGAGAATAGTAGATGGCCCATGCCCTGAAGAATTTACAATCTAAATAGACAAGACAGAGACAGAATGGGGGAAGGGGTGGAACCCACTCTTAGAATATAGATATTCAGACCTGCCTGTAAAGCCTATACTTTAAGAACTTAGGTGTATTTTTATCACTTAGCTACTTACAGGGGTATAAAAACAAAGAATCAAAATCACAGTCTGCCTGTGTTTGGACCTTCTCTCACTAGGATAGTCTGACGCCTTGTTCTTAGGCTAAGGCCTTTGGCTAAGCAGCAGGGGCAGCCATAAGCTGGGAAGCGTAGGGTCACATCCTCACATCCCAAACCAGTCACACTGAAATAAGGTGCTATTGGGCTGTTAGGAAGACGATCCTGTCTGGATAGCGCCCATCACCACCAGATAAAGAAACAAATCTTAAGACGGTTAAAGAAAACTTAGTTTGATAGCATCCTATCTGGCAAGAAATCACTTATCAATGGTTGTGGTTGTGAAACCCTCATTTCTGTATTGTTTTATCTTCATGGCCACCACTTTTACATTGTTAATCAGTCTGGTTCTCTAATTGCGTCTGTCTGTTGTATAATTCATTTTGCTAAGTGTAAGTTAATTAGGGTAGCGGGATATAATTGGTTAGAGAATTATGTTACAATATGTTCAAATTGGTTAAATTTCAGCACAATGATTGGTTAAGGTATAGCTGAGAATATTACTATAGAAATGGAGTCAAACAGGAGAGAGAAGAGATATTGGAATAATAGATTCTATGAATCATAGAATATCAGGGTTGGAAGGAACCTCAGGGGGTCATCTAGTCCAATCCCCTGCTCAAAGCAGGACCAAACCCCAACTAAATTATCCCAGCCATGGCTTGGTCAAACCTGATCGTAAAAACCTCTAAGGAAGGAGCTTCCACTATCTCTCTAGGTAACCCATTCCAGTGCTTCACCACCCTCCTAGTGAAAAAAATGTTTCCTAATATCCAACCTAAACCTCCCCCACTGCAACTTGAGTCCATTACTCCTTCATCTGTCATCTGCTACCACTAACAATAGTCTAGATCAGGGGTCGGCAACTTTTCAGAAGTGGTGTGCCGAGTCTTCATTTATTCACTCTGATTTAAGATTTCACATGCCAGAAAAACATTTTAACATTTTTAGAAGGTCCTGTGGGGGAATAGGCCTGGCTGGCCTCCCTTGCACCGATCAGAACATCAGCGAAGACTCGTCATATAGGCCCACCCTGCAGGTCACAAGCCTGAACTGGGCTAAGTGACACAGCCTCCTGCCAAACTCGGTCAAGGGTCATGACCAGAGGAGGGTGAGGCCAAGGAGGGAAAGAATAAAAAGCCCCAGCAGCAGCACTAATGAAATATGTTCATGGCTGTTGAAATATGATAACCGCTTGTGATGAAATATAATAACTGCTTGTGTGAAGAAATTAGTTCTAGCTAAATGTTAACTTCTCCTGTAATTCCAGCTAAATGCAAAACTAGCCAATTAGATACCTTCTTTAGGCGTCCTGTCAACCCCTCCCCGGTACACTGACCATAACGCCCCAGAAGGTACCATGCACTCTTCCGAGAATGTACCCTAGCTGGTGCCAAGTTTTGACCGCATCAGGCTTCTCGAGAAGCCCCCCACCCAATATGCACCCAATTCTCAGAAAAATAATGAGGAAGGTACCGAAAAAAGGGAACAAACCCCAACTCTTTTATTTTCCTATTGACGTATAATTTGTACTATGTTTGCGGTTTGTAAGAATAAAAGCAGCCTGCAAGCTGTGATTGTGGGTGTAGTTTCTGACTGCAACCCCCAACACATTGGTAGGTATTGCAGTAAACTGGCCTCAGGCTTGAGTCTGTGAACTAAAATCAATGCGTGGATGACTTTTTCCATGACAGTCTCTTTCTATAAGTCTATAATATATAACTAAACTAGTGTTGTATGTAAAGCAAATACGGTTTTTAAAATGCTTAAGAAGCTTCATTTAAAATTAAATTAAAATGCAGAACCCCCCAGAGCAGTGGCCAGGACCCAGGCAGCATGAGTGCCACCAAAAATCAGCTCGCATGCCACCTTCAGCACGTGTGCCATAGGTTGCCTACCCCTGGTCTAAATCCATCTCTTTGGAACCCCCTTTCAGGTAGTTAAAAGCAGCTATCAAATCCCCCCTCACTCTTCTCTTCTGCACACTAAATAATCCCAGTTCCCTCAGCCTCTCCTCGTAAGTCATGTGTTCCAGTTCCCTAGTCATTTTTCTTACCCTCTGCTGGACGCTTTCCAATTTTTCCACATCTTTCTTGTAGTGTGGGGCCCAAAACTGGACACAATACTCCAGATGAGGCCTCACCAATGTTGAATGTTTGTTAAGGGGGGGGAACGGGAAAAGGGAACAGGGACACAGACAAGGCTCTGCGGCATCAGAGCTGGGAAGGGGGACACGAGGTAAATGCTTTGTGGCGTCAGAGGTGGGAAAGGAACACAGGGGAACAGATTGTATCGACGTATAGAGATAAGCCAGACTGCTGTGAAGGGCTTCGGAATACGAAATCTTATAGGAGTAAAAATTGTACAAGCTACACTACCACCCTGTGGGTCCGTCTTCACTACCCGCCGATACGGGTATCTATCAATCTAGCTGGGATCGATTTATCGCATCTCATCTAGATGCAATAAATCGATCCCTGAATGCGCTCCCCGTCGACTCAGGAACTCCACCAGAGCGAGCGGCGGAAGCGGAGTCAACGGGGGAGCCGCGGCAGTCGATCCCACACCATGAGGACAAGAGGTAAGTTGATCTAAGATACATTGACTTCAGCTATGCTATTGTCGTAGCTGAAGTTTTGTATCTTAGATCGATCTCCCCCCCAGGGTAGACCAGCCCTGTGACATCATCAACAACGTGCCCATTTGTGCCTTGGTAGCAGCCCTGCTATGGGAGGAGGAATGTAGCAAGGACTCAGGATCGGTGGCCAGGGTTGCTGTACATAGAGATGGGGAGGTTATATGGGAAGGGACGTAATGAGTGGGAGAGGGAGGTCAAGAGTTAAAATAACAATATTTGGGAGGGAAATGTATAATTAAGTGAAACTGAACAGAAATAAAACTGGAGTGTAGGCTTTAAAGCAACAAGGCTTGGGTAGGGATTTGGGGTTAAAGGTCTGGGATCCATCACAGCTCTAGATCCCCAAACCTCTTCTCCCTTCCATTAACCCACTCAGCCCACTTTCTGGGTGTCCTTCCTCCACACTCCCCACCCCTTCTTCCCATTACTCTTAGCCAGCACCACCTCCTGGTACCTTGGGGTTTCTTGTGTTCCTTCCTCGTCTCTCACAACCTCCTTACTCCCTGCTGCTTCTTAGCTCTAATCGTGCACACATTTCCCCCATGTCCTGGCACCCCAGAATTATCTCCTCCCCTCCCACGGCTCTGTTCTCCCTTCACCCATAGGGTCCTGAATGACAACATTTTATGCTCTCCTATCAAAAGAAGAGCTCATCTGACTGTCACACAAGCTGTGCATGAGTCATACACCTATTTACTCAATTTAGAATTCTACGGGCAGCATATTTTCCTCTTAAAATGAGGAAAAGGCATGAAAGCTACAGTTATTAATGTAGTTATTAATGTAGACAATAAGGATACATTCAATGCAATTTTAAAATAACTGACAGCACCAAAAAGGCACTTGTCCAAAAATTATACTAGTGGGTGGGAGATAAGGCTAAAAAAGGGGGGCAAGGAAACTTGTCAAAACTTGTATGATGAATAAAGGTATAAAGTTATTACTACTCAGGTTCTTTAGAGACAGCTTCTAATAATCGAGGGGACAGGACTCCTTACCCAGCAAGACCATCATCTCATAGTTCTCCTGCATGACATCCCTGTAGAGGGCTCTCTGAGTGGGGTCCAGCAGAGCCCCCTCTTCCCTGGTGAAATACACAGCCACCTCCTCAAAGGTCACCGGCTCCTGAAAGAGCAAGAGTCCAACACTCAGTACCTGCTGCCCCACTCACAACTCCATTATTCATGGAACAGCAGCACCAGGTAAACGGAAGCTCCGGGAGGCACACGTTAACAGAGTCCCACCCCATCTTGCTTAGAGCAGCCAGGAGACATCAGAGGGTAGAAAGAGAGAACCTTTGTGTCTTCCAGATGGAGGCAGGGTCATCACATACCTACTAGCCAGAGCTTGATATAGAGATGGGTCTGTCTCTGGACCCTGCTGGTGGTTCCCTGGTTGGAATCCCAACACTCTCCAAATAAAATATATGGAAGAAAGGGGAAGTCAATAGTAAAGAAGTTAGAAGGTCAGCATTGTAGAAAATTGGTAAGGAAGCTATCAGAAATCAACCACCAATCAATGAAAATAAGAAGGAAGTTTTTAAAAGTATATTAAGTACAACATTAATCCCTAACAATGGTAGTGGTAAATTACTAGATGGAAATGGCAGAATTATCGAAAATAATGCAGAAGAGGTAAAAGTGTTCAATAAATATTTCTCTTCTGGATTTGGAGAAAAACAGATGATGTAACTCATATCATAAGATGTTGATGCTGACAGTCTTTCCATTCCAACAATAGCTCACGAGGACAGCAGCTATTAAAGTTAGACATGTTTAAATCAGTGGGTCCAGATAACTAGAGTTTTGAAAGACCAGGTGGAGGAGCGTGGTGGACTGTTAACGTTGATTTAATTATGACTTGGAACACTGGGGAAATTCCACAAGACTGGAATAAAGCTAATGCTGTGCCAATATTTAAAAAGTATAAAAGAGATGAAGCAGCTAATTACAAGAGTGTTAGTCTGAAATTGATACTGGGCAAGAGAATGGAGCAGCCGATACACTATTTCATTAATAAAGAATTAAAGGAGGGTAATATAATTAGTGCCCACTAACAAAGGTTTAGAGAAAATAGATCCTATCAAACTAACTGGATATCCTTATTGGATGAGATCAAAAGTTTGGTTGCAGATAATAGTACTGATATAATATACCTAGACTTTTGTAAGGCATATGAGTTGGTTCAGCACAATATTTTGACTAGAAAGATACAAAATACACACAGCATACATTAAATAGCTTAAAAACTGTGATTGTAAATGGGGAAGCATGGTTGAGTGGATTTCTTTCTAGCGGGTTCCCGCAAGGATTGGTTCTTGGCCCTGTGCTATTTAACATTCTTATCAATGACCTAGAAGAGAATATAAAATAATCACTGATAAAGTTTACAGTTGCCAGAAAGATTGGGGGTGGTAGTAACTAATGAAGTGTCAGTAGATTCAGGCTCCAGCACTGGGAGTCTGGGAAGCTTTCCCAGCCCTGGCTGGAGGGCAATTTCCTGTTCCACAAAGAGGGGAAATTCCATTCCCAACTCCTGTGCCTTGAAATTAGGCCCTATCTGACACTACAACCCATATTCAGCATAGTGGTATGAGTAGGACATAATTATGATGCATTTTGTGCAAGATGTGTCATGTGCGATGTCATTGGAAAAGTTATTTATTGAATATGATTATCCTATTTGTGTGCATCGATCATGTTTTTATCTGAAGTTATGGATATTGACTCTGTATCTATATTTCAAATGTGCTTACTCTGGGTAACACCCACAACTAGCCTTTCAGGTACAACAATGAAGAAGCCAGACAATGCTGATGGCTCATCAACAAAGACAAAGGACCATGGAAGAGCTTAGCCCTCCTGTGAAGGTTTCAGGCAGCCTATGAGTCATGGCTACTATGACTCAGCAGAGCATGCTAGGGCATGTGACCAGACCACATGACACTGAACTCCATTTTGCTACCTGTATTTTTCCACAAATTGAACTGGGAACTGAGTTTGCAACAATTGGTTCCCATCATATGGAAAAGCTACATAAGGTCGGGTGTGACGTCATCTCTTGGCATCATTTCCCAGACAAGAGAACTCCTGGAAGCACCTGAGGAAGAAAGACTGAATTGGGGGATATGCTGGTCCCAGGGTAAAGGGATTTCCAGTTTGTGTATGGAAACTTGGTGGACTGCTTCAATCATCAGTCAGGGTGAGAAATTGCTAATTCAAATTCTATCCATCTAGTACAGGGGCGGGCAAACTTTTTGGCCTGAGTGCCGCATCAGGTTTTGGAAATTGTATGGAGGGCTGATTAGGGGAGGGGGGCATGGCCCAGCCCCCACCTGCTATCTGCCTCTCCTGCGTCTCGTCCCCGGGACTCCTGGCCCATCCAACACCCCCTGTTCCCTGATGGTCCCCCTGGACCCCTGCCCCATCCACCCCCCTGCTCCCTGTCCCCTGACTGCCCCCAGAACCCCCACCCCGACTCCCCCCGCTGCCCCATCCAACCCCTCCCACCTTCCTGACTGCCCCCTGGACCTCTACCCCCATTCAACACCCCCTGTTCCCCACCTTCTGACCGCCCTGACCCCATCCACACCCCCAGCCCCTGATCAACACCCCAAACTCCTCTGCCTCTATCCAACCCCCCCCCCGCTCCCTGCCCCTTTACCATGTTGTCTGGAGCACCGGTGGGTGGCGGTGATACAGCCACACACCATGCAGCATAGAGCACAAGGTCAGGCTGGGCTCTGCAGCAGCACTGCCCCAGGAGCCCACAGCTCCACCACCCAGAGAATTGCACTGGCAGTGGGGAGAGCTGAGGCTGCGGGGGAGGGGGAACAGGAGGGAAGGGGCCAGGTGCTAACCTCCCGGGCCAGAAGCGTCCCATGGGCCAAATGTGGCCCGCGGACCGTAGTTTGCCCATGTCTGATCTAGTATGTTAGGCTTAGTTTGAGTTTTTGGTTATTTGCTAAGTAATCTGCTTTGATCTATTTGCTATCGCTTATCGCTGGGAAATTGGCTGTTGTCTTCTATCTGTCCTTGAGTGGCTTAGGTAAAGCACTCAGGTAGCTTAGTTGAGTGTATGGCACCACCTGCTGTCGTGTTGGGTGATAACAAGGCCTGGAGAGGCTAGCTGAAACTCCAGCAAAACAGTGTGAAAAGGGCCAGCCCTGCTTGAGGGTTAGAGAGCACAGCGCTTCCCAGAAGCCCCCCAGACTGCACCCCAGGGGTGACAACCATTACACCCTAGATTACACAAGTCTCAGCAGATTTGTCACATGCTGTCCCCTCCCTTTCTCCACCCGAGATATTTCCTGCCTCCCACCACCTCTAGCAGCTCCCACCCTCCTATGCCTTTACTGCTCCTCTCCCTCCAAGCAGAACCCACCACCAGCTCCCTGAGAATCACTTACCTGAGCCAGCTCCATTGTAACCATTTCCTTCCCCTTGGGAGGATAGGATGATCTGGAGTGAAACGTGGATGTTATTCTGTAGCCTGCCAGTGTGAGAAGGGCAATGTGAGAGCATTCAGATGGGGCTTTTGTCCATTCCACAAGCTGATTCCCCCCAGATTTTTCCCTGCTAATGGACATTCTAGGTTCTGCCACACTGTGAAGCACAGAGTGACCTTATTCCAGTACAGGCCTAGCCCCCTCCCACCAGGGTGTAACCCTCTGAGAAATGGTGAAACCCTCCCAGTAACAGTCTCTCTCTGTTACACTTATCAAGTTTGCAGAGGATATCAAGCTGGGAGGAACTGTAAGTGCTTTGGAGGATAGGATTAACATTCTAAATGATCTGGACAAACTGGAGAAATGGTCTGAAGTATATAGGATGAAATTCAATAAGGACAAATCCAAAGTACTTCATTTAGGAAGGAACAATCAGTTGCACACATACAAAATGGGAAATGACTGCCGAGAAAGGAGTACTGCGGAAAGGGATCTTGGGGTCATAGTGGATCACAAGCTAAATGAGAGTCAACAGAGTTACACTGTTGCAGAAAAAGCAAGCATCATTTTGGGATGCATTAGCAGGAGTATTGTAAGCAAGACACGAGAAGTAATTATTCAACTCTACTCCGTGCTGATTAGGCCTCAACTGAAGCAGTGTGTCCAGTTATGGGCCCCACATTTCAGGAAAGAGGTGGACAAATTGTAGAAAGTCCAGAGAAGAGCAAGAAAAATGATTAAAGGTCTAGAAAACACGACCTATGAGGGAAGATTGAAAATTTGTTTGTTTAGTCTGGAGAAGAGAAGACTGAGCGGGGACATGAAAACTGTGATCAAGTACATAAAAGGCTGTTAGAAGGAGGAGGGAGAAAAATTGTTCTTCTTAACCTCTGAGGATAGGAGAAGAAGTAATGGGCTTAAATTGCAGCAAGGGCAGTTTATGTCGGACATTAAGAAAAACTTCCTAACTGTCAGAGTGGTTAACCACTGAAATAAATTGCCTAGGGAGGTTGTGGAATCTCCATCATTGGGTATTTTTAAGAGCAGGCTGGACGAACACCTCTCAAGGGATGGTCTAGAGAACTGGTCCCCAATGCACCCACCAGGGCATCTATGTGCACCCACGTACTGGCCAGTGGACAAGCATCCACTGAAATGCCGCCGAGAAGCAGCGTCATCAAGAGGTGGCTCGTTGTCCGGCGCCCACCAGACGAAAAAGGTTCGGGACCACTGGTCTAGAGAATATTTAGTCCTGCCTTGAGTGCAGGGGACTGGACTAGATGACCTCTCAAGGTCCCTTCCAGTTCTATGATTCTATAAACCAAAGGCCACAGAAGAGGAGAATCAAAGGAGTCACTTTGGGGGATTCTCCCTGTCATTGTCCCCAAGGCAACTGTCTCAGGTTTACTAAGTTGTTTGATGCTCCAGCCTTTATACAGTCTTTCCTGGGAGTGTCCCCTTTCATGAGCTGGACCTAGTGTTAGCTTTTGGCAAGCATGACCCTGAGGGCTCTGAGACTGGGTCTCCTTGCCTCAGCACACCTTGTTTCTTTCTGTGGCTCCCCAGTGAGTCCAAATGAGTAGATACTCCTCATAGAGACT